TATCTGGATGTAATAGGTTGAGTGGAAGAATGGGTCATTGAAGCTCATTCTAGGATCAACTTGTGATTGAATACACAAGTAGAAGCTTTGTTAGCCTTTTAACTAGTGTCTATTTACATTCTTGGTCATATGAATGCTGCATATGCTATGTAATAGCTGAAGCCAACCGCTAGTAAATATTGTCTACTTTGGCCTGTTACGTATCGCCGATAGCTTCAAGATTTTAAAACGCGTCTACTAGGGAGAGATTTCCATACCCTTATAAGGAATGTTTCATTCCCCTCTCCAACCAATGTGGGATCTCACAATCCACCCCCTACGGGGATAAGTGTCCATGTTGGCACACTGTTTGGTGCCTAGCTTTTGATATCATTTGTAGCAGCCTAAGTCCACTGCTAGTAAATATTGTCTGCTTTGGCCCGTTACGTATTGTCATTAGCCTCATGGTTTTAAAACACATCTATTAGGGAGAGGCTTCCACACACTTGTAGTGAATGTTTTGTTCCCCTCTCCAACCTATGTGGGATCTCACAATCCACCCCCTACTTGGCCCAACGTCCTCCCTGGCACACTGATCAATGCCTAGCTTTAATACCATTTGTAATAGCCCAAGCCCACTGCTAGTAAATATTGTCCGCTATGGCCCATTATGTATTGAAGTCATCCTTGGGGTGATCTCGTAGTTCCTAAGATTTTGTTGGAATTTCACGAAATATCATAGGAAAAAATTACTTCATTAAGAGTGAAGCCATTTGGGAGAGGCTTCCTAAATGAGATCCCACATAGGTTGGAGAGGGGAACAAAACATTCACTACAAGTGTGTGGAAGCCTCTCCCTAATAGATGTGTTTTAAAACCATGAGGTAATTTTTAGGAACTACGAGTGAAGCCATTTGAGGAGATAAAATTGAAACAGAGAGATGAGGAAAAGGAGAGGCAGATTAGGCTAGAAAATATATCCATTCTTGGTTGTTGTCCTGGTTTTTGTCTAGAGTGTGTTCGAGTGCTCTACATGCTCAGATTTTTGTAACCATTGGGGGCGCCTCTTCTAAACTTTTTGTGAGATCTCCCATCAGTTGGAGAGGGAAATGAAGCATTCTTTATAAGGGTGTGGAAACCTCTCCTTAGCAAACACGTGTTAAAAACCTTGAGTGGAAGCAAGGGAAAGCCCAAAGAGGACAATATCTGCTAGCGGTGGGTTTGGGTTGTTACAAATGGTATCAAAGTCAAACACCGGATGATGTGCCAACGAGGAGGCTAAGTCCAAAGGGGGGTGGACACAAGGTTGTGTGCCAACTAGGACGCTTGGCCCCAAAGGGGGGTGGATTAGGTGGTCTCACATCGATTGGAGAAGGGAACGAGTGCCAGCGAGGATGCTGGACTCCAAAGGGGGTGGATTTTGAGATCCCATATCGGTTGGGGAGGAAAACGAAGCATTCTTTCCCTAGCAGACACATTTTAAAAACCTTGAGAGGAAGTCTGAAAGGGAAAGTCCAAAGATGACAATATCTGCTAGCGGTGAGCTTGGGCTGTTACACTTTCCTTATGTTGTTGATGTGCTTTCTTTGATCTCGTTAATGAACATTCTGCTATTTCCTATAAAAAAATAATGTCCCATGCTGAAAGTTTATGCTTTTTTCCCCCTCTTGCTCTGATAATTAGGCTTTTGAAGAAGCTGAGCTCCCCAGGCTGAAGGAAGAAAAACCAGGTCTTACTCACAATCAGTACAAGGACATGATATGGAAGCTATGGAAGAAGTCTCCTGACAACCCTCTTAATCAGGTAGCTTAATGCATAAACGTTTCAAAAACTTTATTCCTGCTTGTCCCTCTCTCTTTAAAGCGTGCCTGCTTTTTCATGGTTTGTGTGGTAGGTTGCAGCAGAGTGAGTGGATCCATGTCCATCAACATGGGGCAGGCGAGCTTTCCATTGATTCTTTTAAGCCTGTTTACTAAAGCTTCTTCTTCATTTCTGTTGTATCCTGGAATCATCTTTGGTTTGTTGATGGTTCTTTCGTTCGTCTGTTGCTGCATATTATGGCACGGGACTCTCGTAAATGCATATAAATAGTTTCGGGTCCTGTGTTGTACAATAAGTATTAATATTATGACCTTGGTTTCTGTCATGTTCATTCAGGCCATGTAGTTGTCTTATTTTGGTGCTCACGGATGATGGATCCTTGAGGTTTTAGAGGCTGCGTTTTCGTAGTCGTAACAGGAAAAAAAAAACGACTTGTTGGCTGTTGCTCTCTAGCAAAATTAGCACCGTGGATCTAGATGTGAATTTTAGGTTAGTCTTTTACTCTCTTAAGGTGTTTTATTGTGAGATCCACGTCGGTTGGAGAGGGAAATGAAACATTCTTTATAATGGTGTGGAAACCTCTCCGTAGTAGACCCGTTTTAAAATCTTTGAGGGGAAGCTCGAAAGAGAAAACTCAAAGAGGACAATGTCTACTAGCGGTGGATTTGGGCTGTTACAAATGGTATTGGAGCCAAACACCGGGCGGTGTGCCAACGAGGACGTTGGGCCTCCAAGGGGGTGGACACAGGGTGGTGTGCGGTGTGCCAGCGAGAATGCTGGGCCCTGAAGAGGGGTGGATTGTGAGATTCCACATCAATTGGAGAGAAATGAGTGCTAACAAGGACATTGGACCCCAAATGGGATGGATTGTGAGATCTCATATCGGTTGAAAAGAGGAATAAAGTATTCTTTATAAGGGTGTGGAAACTCTTCCTAGTAGACGCATTTTAAAAACCTTGAGTGAAAGCCCGAAAGATGATAATATTTGCTAGTGGTGAGCTTGGATTGTTACTTTATGCTCAGCTAGAAGAAGTGTTTAATGCCTCTTTGGGTATAAAGATGCAAGTGCTTCTTGTTGGAAACTATTTAAGGTGGGAGCTGTTGCTTGTCTTGTGAATGAACAAAAGCAAGAAAAAGATGAGCTTTAATGCCCTCTGTTATGTGCTGTTTCATGATGTGGTTCAGTTATGTTTTGTGTACTTTTATCTTCTTTTTCTATTTGTCTTCTCGTTGGCTCGGGGACGAGGTGAATCTTGCTCACAAAGTTAAGGACGTGTAAGTACTCGAAGTTGATAAATTCACAGATACCTGTCCTTGACTTCTTGAACTTGGGTGAAAGCAACTTCGAGTACTCGCTCGATATCAAATGAGCTAATCTCATAAAACACCTATCTCGTTCTTCAACATTTGGTTATCGAGTAGTTTCTCCACCCGTTCTTACCCCAAAATTTATTTTATTTGTCACCGAACCAATGTTGTTGTTGTGTAGTTTCTAATAACAAGCACGACGTTAAGAACACTTCTTTAAATTAGGCAAGTAGCGAAGGCACCTCATAAATGGAGGGCTGCCCCATTGAAGAAGGGTCATCCAATTTGATTGAGATATTCCAGCTACTTCAACAATCCACTTCACTGTGTTTCAACTCTCAAAACTGTTTTAGCCACCACACCATTACTTCAACTAATCAGCTTCCATTATTATTAAATCCATGGCAATTCTTCAGCTTTTGATTCTCTCTCCGCCGCCGGCTGATCTCAAAAAGAAAGAAAGAAAAAATGCTGTCCCTTGTGAAACCCAAATCGGCCGCGACCAAGAAGAGAACGATCATCGTCGGCTTGAACTCTGCAAACTCCGGCAGAGAGATTCTGCTGCGAATGCTAGTCGTGGTGGTAAGAACAGGGGATAATGTGGTGGCGGTTCATGTTCGAGAGCCGAATGAGAATTTCGATCCCAACACTTTTCATATTCATGAAGATCTTTGCAAATCCAAGCAGGTCGAAAATGGCGATTAAATTTTACGTTTTTGTAATAGGAGCTGAAGGGGTTTTGTTTTGTTGATCGAATGATGATTTTTCAGGTCGATTTTCAAGTTCGGATTTGTGAAGGAGAATCCTACATTTTAGAATTGACCCATCAGGTTCGACTCAACTTTGCGACCGTTCTTGTTCTCGGAACCACCTCTTCGGGGTATGAAATTTTAACTTCCTGTTTCAAAAGTTGCAATATTACTTCTGACTTCTCACAAACGTTTCAAATCTATCCAAAGATATTTGCATTTTAGTCCCTCACATGAGATGTAATTAGTTATGCAGTCCCAAAGATTCAGTTGTTAAAACATGCTTGAAAGGGCTGCCCCCAACTTGTACCCTTATGGTAATGGACAACAGAGGAAAGATTCAAGTCCAAATGAAGGGCACTTCTCAAGAAGGCTCCACAAGGCCAATCCTCAAAGCTCCCCTGTCATCTTCAGCCCATCATTCACCAAACCCATTGACTGAATCATCATCATCATCATCTTCTTCTTCCTCCTCACCATTACCATCAGTGCAACCAGAAGGATCTCAGAGACCAGTCCCCACATTTACGTTCGAGAAGCTCAGCCATGTCGATTTGAAGCATTCTGTCAGGCTTTTCACACCCCAAGAGATTGCTTTTGCAACCAAGAACTTCAGCCCTGTGATGTTGATTGGAGAGGGTGTGTGCTTTAAAATGTATAGTGCGAAGCTCGAGGATGGGCAGTTCGTAGCTGTGAAGGTCCAAACCAAACAGTTTTCGTCGGAAGTTCTACTTCGAGAGATCGAAATGTTGGCTGGTCTGAGACATGAAAACATTGTTAAGATTGTAGGCTGTTGTAACCGTGAGGAGATCCGAGCGGTTGTGTACAATCAGTTGAAAGGAAACTTGATGCAGCATTTAGGGAAACTCAAATGGACTGATCGAGTGCAAGTTGCGATCGGGGTCGCGAAGGCATTGAAGTATCTTCATCATTCTTGCAGCCCTCCGATTATTCATAGAAACATAAAATCATCCAATATTCTGCTCTCCGATCAGTGCCAACCACAAGTCAGTTCCCATTTCTCCTTTCTTTAAGCTGTCTTATCTCTGAGATATGTTCTGTAACTTCTCACATTTTCAGTTATCAGACTTCGGCGAAGCAATGGTACTTCAGGAAGTTCAAGAGGACTCGACACAAGTTGAGATTGGGAGGTTCGGCTACTTAGCCCCGGAGTACTTGATGTTTGGAAAAGTTAACGAGAAAGTCGATGTTTATTCCTACGGTGTCGTGCTTTTGGAACTCATCACTGGGAAAGATGCAATTCAGACAGAGCAGACAAACCGTAGAAGCTTAGTTTTCTGGGTAAGGAAATGAAGAACCGAACATTTCGGGTAGCTTTTAATCCGGAGTTTCCTTATCTACATGATATTTATACGCTATTTCATCATACCAATCCACAGGCAAGGTCCCTACTAGGCTGTAACTTAGCAGAACATTTAATTGATCCAAATTTGAAGGAGGACTACAACCATGAAGTGATGGAAATGATGATGATTGTCGCCCGCCTCTGCCTCTTGCACTCGTCATCAAGACGACCAACAATGGAAACTGTAAAGAAAAACCCTTCCCCTGCATTAAAATTTCACTCTGTCAGAGCTAACCCTGTGATAGAACACATTGCAGATAGTGAAGCTATTTGAAGAACCAGAGTACTTGAAGAAAATGCAGAGTGGAAGAAAGGATCTTCTTACAGTGCTGACTCCCAAAGCTGAGATCGGATTGTGGAAAAATGAAGAATCAGCCCTTCAAGATACCACAAGAACAGACCAGAACTATGGATTTTCTGACAACTTAAACGTCACATAAACATTTATGTGACAGCCTAAGCCCACCGCTAGCAGATATTTTCCTCATTGGGCTTTCTCTTTCGGGCTTTCCCTCAAAGTTTTTAAAATGCGTCTGTTAGGGAGAGGTTTCCACACCCTTATAAAGAGTGTTTTGTTCTTCTCTCCCACCGACGTGGGTTCTCACATTATAAATACTAACATATGAATGGTATACATGAATCCACTTATAGAAATGTAATATTCAGTGAGATATAATTATTTTCTCATCACCTGGCTTTGTAAATGTATCAAATCAGAGTACTCAACAAAAGTTGTAATCTACAAAACTCATGTAAATCAATTGTTTGCCTAGTTTGATAGTCGTCCACCTAGATTAAAATGAGCACAGGTGGATGAAAATTATAGCAGAATTTGAGCACATAACAACCAACAATATTGTTCTTATTCCCTTCTTTTCTTGTGTGTGTGGTGAGTGTGTGTGTGGGGGGGGGGAGAGAGAGAGAGAGATATATATGGAATCTGGCTGATCTTAAAAATAAATAAAGAATATCGAACAATGTTGTTCTTATTGGGTACAATAATTCACAGTAAGGAAAAGAACTACTAAAATTGCTATCCTACTCACTAAAACAATTTCTTTTTCCTTCTTCCTTCTCTCACATTTTGTTCAAATTACAATGAAAGTATGCAGCAACGAAGAAGAAAGAGAGGAAAACTTGCTGAGACTTATCAAGATCATTATAGTTTATAAATTTGTAAACAGGTTAGCATCACAGCAGAATGTTCCTCTCCTTATTCTTTCTACTGTATACTTACTTGTTAATTGGAAGCAACATTAAACCAGAGGAAGAAAGCCAAATACAATATGAAGAAAATGGCAATGAAGTGTGCTTAGAAAAATACTGGAGACGGGTGCAAATGGGATGTTTGCGAGCCCAAACCTCAATTGAAAGAATGAGTTGTTCCTCATGATAGCAGGTGTTTATGGAGTTGCTGTGCTTCTGCCGGCAGCCTTCCCACAAAGGAGAGCATTATCTGGAACATTGTACTCATCCCTCAAGGACTTAACGGGTGTGTAAACTCTGAGATAAAATTGTTGTCCAAGGTATTGTCTTGCCCAGAACTCTGACCTTATATTCCACATTCCAACATTGTCAAGTGAAACATAAATGGCTGTCCATGACCTTGGGTATACCTACAAATGACCAATAAAAATTTCATTACTTTACAGTTCCAATCAGATTTTATACCGAACTCGATCGATGTGATTTGAATTTCTCGCATAGAACGGTGAGATAATATACCTGAGTTGTACACCGTGAAACTGCATCTCGGAGATTGTACTGTTCTCTGCTAGCAGGAGTCCAAACTCCTCCATCCATTCTGCAACAATAAGTTAGTGTTGAATGAGTAATTTATGGAATAGTGAAGTTCGCTCAGCCAATACCACAAGACATTACCAGAAATATATATACTTGATC